TAATTCCACTTATACTGATGCTTATGCCTTTAATGGTATAAAAATGCCAAAACCCCAGTTTGGATTTCAAAGTTGAATGCTGAGCATCCAAACAGTACCTGTGCAGAATCATAAAAGGAAATTTCAGACAGCACAGGCACAGAACACTGCAGTTTTTCCAAAGTTAGATTCAACAGGCCACTGAATACAAGAAATAGCCACGAGTCAGACCAGTAATTACTGTAAACTCCCATCCTCAAGGCTACTCTTCTGCAACTAGCATTACTCTATCACATATACTGGCAAAGATCACATTCTGATGCTGTCAGAGCCTGCAGGAAAAAAAACCAAACCCTGATTTTAATATGTAGAAGATGACAAAAGGGAAGATGGACACAGAAGACTACTTTTAATGTTTTTTGCCTTCACCAGCATGCTGGATAAAAGTACTCAGTTTTCAAAAGCAAAATATAATGCTCATATGTCAAGCTGGTAAGTCAGTGCTTTAACTGTATGACATGCTCCAACACGGGGAAAGTGATCCTGGCAAGCATCTGACAGAAAACATCAGGAAGGCAGATGTTTAAGTTCCATGTCTAACATGCTGCACTTTAATCAATTTCAGCATCTACTGCAAATATAAAAATATGTCTTTAAATGTTTCTGTGAGGAAGATAAACAAAATTACTGGAAAAATGCAAACTGGACGATGACATTTTTCTATTTCTACATTTCTGGGCTCACCAAAAATGAAACTTCAGAACTCCTGGAGAGTGTCACACATGTTATTACAGTGCTGAGTTTAACACTCAAAAGATCTAGGAAAACAAAATGCTCAAATCAGGAGTACTGAAAAAACTTAAGTTCTGAGGTATTTACAGTTTTGAAAAACAAAGGGCCAAATGTTTCTGGTTTCCATCAAGTTTCAGTCTCAACATCTACCACATGCAAAAAAAAAAAAAACTAACAAATTTGCAATAATTTGTCTTCCGTTTTTTCCCAAACTGTACCACCTAACCATATTCTTCCCTATTTTGAAGACAGTCTTTATGAGAAACTAAAACTAAAGGGAAACAAATTGTGTTTGCATGTGAATAAGTGACCTGTGGGTCTGTGTATCATCATCTAGTCAGCTTATATCTGTAATTACAGCTGAGGTTAGTTTAGACTTGCACTAAGAGCCTGCAGTACAGATTTTCACCACCAGCTGCCTTCACTACCACTGGCTTATCTATGTAAAAAATGAATTTTTGCAGCTAACTGAAAGCTAAGCTACTGACATACTTCTTTCAAACACATCTGAGTCCTAAAGAGCAGCAGGGTAACAAACTTGGTTTTCCCCCCACAGTGGCAGTAAAATTTATCTACTTTTTCCTTCAAATAGAATTTCTATACCCTAAATAGTACTTTGATTACAACTAAGAGATGTCTTTCAGAATACAGTTGCTCATGAAAATTAGGATTTAAGAACAGTAGCAAATGGGTACAACCCCACAATGAAAAGAATGAAAAGAGGCAACTAATATATTTTCTTTAGGGGAAAATACTCCAAACAAGCCACAAAACAAATAATTCTTCAAATAGCTATCAGTAAATTAAGAACTATGATGCAGCAAAACAACATAGAAAGGTAAAAATGCATAAAAACGTTTAGTGGCTTGATGCAGCTAAGAAGCGTAAGACTTTTTAATGCATAAGAGAAAATACAAAAAAATAATGTAACCAGCTACTAGCTAAGGATAGGAAAATTCTCATCAGGAAAAAAACCTCTTCTGTCATGTGCAATACTTACATTAGGAAACAATTAAGACAACTAATCTTATGAATAAAAGTAAGTATTTCCCAATGCTCTAAGAGTGATAGAGATATCCTCTAGCACTGAGAAATTTTTAGAAATAAATACTTGTGATTGCAAGGTCAAGTGATTTGTTCCTAATAGTTCTGGAAAAGCTGGGATTGAAGTTTCAAGTGGCTGACAATTTTACAACACTAACATAGTTCCAGTAAACTATTACTTATTAATTTGAAGATTAAAAAAACCCCAAAAAACAACATGGGCCAGAATGTTTGACACTCAATTAGAAAACATATAGAAGAAACTGTGGAACTTAAGGAATTACCAGACAAAAACAATCCATGTTGACTACCATCAACATAAGATGATAATAGGTTATGCACATGAAGACCAAAATGATGATTTTGCTTAAGTAATACAAAAGTAAGGCAATATAATATTTACCTACATGGTATGACTTACTAGTAGGCTGGTTTCAGAATTTTGTTAGAGCCAATAAAGAACACATGAAATGAATTAACGCTTTATTTTTTGATTTTAAAGAACTAGCCGGGACTGATGCCATATTTAAAAGCACTCAACATTTTCAGTGATTTGAAAGTGACTCTAAACACAGCTCCTGATAGCACTTGGTGGGTGACAGGAGCACTGACTAAACTGAGTAGGAGCCAGAACAAGGCCAGAAAGATCAAATAAGACAGACTCACTCAAAAATGAGTTTTATGAGAAAATTAAATGTGAAGCATATCATTAAGATATAAGTAGGGAGCATATTTTAAACAGCAGATTAATCTATTCTGCACATACTTTTTGTGCAAATTAAGAAAATGACCCAAAGGATGGCAAGCATGTTCAGCAGCAGTGGCTATCCTGTATGAGTAATTCCAGTTCTGATAACACAGGCACACTTTGGCACTGACTGTTTGGGCAAGTAAATTTATCCAATGTGCAAGGAACTAATATCCTAATAAAGAAGCAAACCTCCATGAATGACAGCGCCTCCTTAACAAAATATTTAGTGTTCACTTACATATATAAATATAAATTGAGTATCCAGAGACCACCATCACTCACATCTGTGGCGAGCCACAGAAAAGCTAGTCAAATATGGATAAACCAAAAATTCTTCAGAAAGTCAACAAGCAGAAGCAGCATAAGACACAGATGTCTAGTCAAATGCTGTGTTCAATGCTAAATAGAAGCTGTTCACAAATTAAGATTACTGTGAAAGCAAACAATTTCAAGAGCAGAAACTGTATCTATTGCTCACTCAGCAACTTCTATCAACTCCCTCTGAAGCCAAGAGCAAGACACAAGGTTTCCACAACACTGGTTCTAGACTCACCAATACATTAGTACCTGGGAGTGCCACCTCTGATGCTGTAAAATATCCAGTAGAATTAGGCACTTCTGCCTGAGAAATATGATGGGGAGGAGGGGTAAGAAGACACCTGAAGAGATCCCAAAAGGACCTCTTTACAATAAGATGCTACACTGCCACTAACTCAATCCTCAAGAAAATCTAGATGAAACAGTAATATTGTCCTTTATCCAGCAATGCAGAGTGCAATGCTACCACCAAACAGCACCTGAGGTACTTGAGTTGCAACTCCTACAGCTCCAGAACTGCCTTGAGCTGCAATCTCCTGTACCAAAACCTGCATGAGTAAGTCTAAAGAACTGACACAAGAAGGAGGTATCTGGAAGTGGTCAGAAGTAAATAATTTTTAACTATGTCAATGTTACTTGGTCTACAGTTATCCATGGTATCCAGGCATCTACATTCTGGTTTATTCCCATCTGCATTTTGACTTCAAAACTTTGATATCGAAATACGTTTGTTTTCCCATTCGCATTAACACAGCATCTACAGCCCCTGCTTCATTCCAAAGTCGTTTTTGACATCTCTCATTCTGACAGTCTTCCTGTTAGATCTGCACTCCTCTTCTGTGACCACAAATGCTTAATTCTTCAGGGGTGGGAGGGAGAAACATAATCATGTTTTTCCTCCTAAGCACACTTAGAGGGGAAGGCTTGCAACATGCCAGTTGTTGTAAACTTTTGTAGGCTTTCAAAAGTTTTCCTTATAGCATACAATTCATGTTATGTGATTGGAGCAGAGTTCAGAATGAAGATTTAATGACCTGGCCTTCTACACAAAGTCTGAGGACAGCACTTGCCAGGTGATGGTTTTTAATTAACAACAAAAGTTTTTGACGCCAGTGCCTCAAAAAATTTTTGACTCTAAGACAGGATGATTCAAACAGGACCTTTTGTTCTTTTCTCCTTTGAAGCATGTCCTTTTGTACAATGGATCTATTGTTATATTATTGTCTCAACATCCTTAAGGAAACTCGCAGACCTGGGTTCAAGCAGACAAGAATTTTCAGTCACTACCTACAAACTGGCCTTTGGCTTAAATTAGAAACGGAAGAGAAGTTACACAAAGGAAATTATGATTTCACAAGCTCTTTCAAAATCAGGATTAGGAAGATACATAAACTTCTCAAGAGTTATTAGTGATCACAGGCCTGAGGGTTCACTGTAAATATGGAAAAGAGTTATCTACTGACTAATGGAAGATTTACTGAAAGAACAAAAAATAAATGAAAAAGACATGAATAAAAACACAATGAAAGAGTGAAAATATTAAATGTTGCCTTCATTATACCGTATAGACAAGTGTTTTAACTGTCTTCAATTAACATTAACTTCAATTCATTTGCATTGTATCAATTCTCTGTTTCCAACGAAATAAAGCCACTTCACTGCGCTTCGCTGTTTGAAATACTACAGGCTAACAAGGAATACATGAAACTATTCTTAACCTCATTAAAACAGTCACAGCTTAAAATGCAACCCCAATAGCACAAAATTCAGTTACATAACTTTCCTAAAATTCCACCATACCCTTCCCCCAAAAGACTAAATACCCACTGGAGCAAGCAGAACTGGCTTGTTATATGAAGGAAGGCATGTTAAAAACCCCCAAAAGAACCAACAGAAAAAAAAATATTCCAAACCCATCAACTCCAACAGTTCTTGCTTATTTGTGGATCCCTGGCCTCTTCAGAGGGGAAAGTAACTGCTATGTAAAAGGTCTTGCAGACATTCCTGCAGACTACAAGGTTCTTTGTAGGCAGACAACCACACTGATTTGATTTTGTGATATTTTCTAAATTTAAAATCACCCATCTATTTTTACACAGAATTACAACATACTTACTCTGCCATTACACGCCTGACGTTATTGGCATATAACACTGGGTTTTTTCTTTCTTCTTCTGAAGGAATGTACACGGGTAGAAACTGCGTACAGAGAACTGAATTATACCAAAAATATTTAACATTTTAAACAATCTCTTACAGCACTAGGGTGAATATTGTATACAGTTTGTTGTTACTCAGAAAATTACATTAAGACTACAGAAAATATTAAAAATTCAACTTTTAAATGCTTAAGTATATGTCATACTTCTAGAAATTTATATAACACTGACTCTGCTTATTTCTCACCGCACGGAATCCAAGCAGAGTTTTATCTTCATTTCTGAAGTGGGACTCAGAATTTTAAAATAATTTAGAAGTATTAGCACTTTCTTGCACATACCTCACTTACCTTCTGTATTGTTCAGCTCTTTTCAGATAACCAAAAAAAGCACATGCTACAGGAATATTGTTTAATAACTTAAAAATTAAGAATCCAAATTTTAAGGACATCAGGTATTTACTGTTCCCCCTGCACATTTTGAAATCATGTACGACTGCCTAATATACACAGGAAAAGTGTTTTTATTTTCTGCTGTTAGATGCTTTGAAACTTTTTTCCTTCTAATTGGACATAAGCCATTAACGCTCCATTGAAATAAAAAAAATCTAAATGAATGCAGATGACCAGAGAACCACAGAATAGTTGATGTTGGAAAGTGGAAAATTAAACCAGAGCTGCTGGAGACCCACAATAGAAAGGGCAGCTTTCAGAATGGCATGGCCTACATTAAAATATCTTCCAGTATTTAAAGCTGTTTTTAAGTGTCCATTGAAAAATTACATAAGCCCCAAGATCATGGCCAGTCTCAACAATAAAAACCTTCAAAACATTTCATTCTGCCAAGTGACTAACTTCCCAGACAGGAGGAACAAGAGAGGATCACTCTGATCACCACTCCTAGTCAGTACCAGACAGACAACTCTCTTAGTAGTGCAGCACAGTGAGGTAATTTATGCACTAAGTGAGCAAAATGTTCACAATCCTGTGTAAAGCTTCTGTATTAGAAAAAAAGCTGCAAGAAGCTTAGTTGCAGTACATATAATTACCTATGCGTAGTGAAAATGGAAATTATGACCCAGAAATTTCACACTGGTCTTTAAACCAGAAACTAACAACTGGGTAAAGTTGTTAGTCTTTATTTTAAAGTTCATAATTTCAGCAAACACTTCTCAATAACCACAAAGCTAGCTGTGTTTTTAAAATTACTGTGTTTTAAAATTAGCTGTGTTTTTAAAGTTACTGATCATAACTGTATGATCAACAGTACCCAAACACTGCTGTTGGACATTCATCTGTTTCCTGGAAAGGACAAATATTGAATTTATTTTGAGTTTTGCTGGAGTTTTCCTATGTGCACCACTGCATCTGAAAACACATGACTCCTGTCTTCTAAGTTTACATTACAAGCAGGTACACCAGCCTCATGTAATATACAAAACCACAAAGACTCTGCAGTTAACAGAGATGGAAAGACTGCTTCTTCAACTTCTAAACCTCATTCCATTTATTTGAGTTGCAAATGGCTATTAAGTAATTTGTCCAAACACAGAAGTTCGAATATGAGGTGATTTCAGAGGTGTTCTGCATGTCTGTGCCTAACTCAACATAAACAGCATAATCATTTCAACATCACTAACAAAACCAAGAGAAGAACTCTCAGCTGCTGCAGACTGTCATGGATGTACAAACACTGAAGTTGACATGTCAGTAAAACAGACATGAGCCAAAACAAACTACATGTGCAGATGATCATACATCCTTTCTTCTTCATATTGCCAGCATGCCATTTTTAAGTCCAGGATGGGTGGATGAGTGAATACTTACAGAAACCTATTATAAAACTTACATAGATTTTATTTTATAGTGACACTGGATGACACACACAACATGCCAGAACATATATTTTATGCAGAGAAGCCCAGACTAGCTAAATTTGGATCCTGGTTGCTGGCTGGTAAATCTTACTGGCTATCATTTAATCAAAAAAAAAACCTCTGAGGTTGTGTTGTTTTGTCATAGGTCTTCCTGAGTTATTGAATCATCAGCACTAACTGTGGTATCCAGGCTCCTAGGTTTTTGCCAGTATCTGTGCTGATTGAACAGAGCGGGAATATCAACCAATAAGCGTCAGAGACCAGGGGAAAAATATGACTTTGAACCCAAAACAACTAATTTTTCCTATATGTTACTAGTCCTCACTGCACTTCCTTACAAAAACAGATTCAACTGCTACAGCTCCAGAACAGCCTTGACAGGATTTGAGCTGGAATCTCCTGTACCAAAAGCTGCATAAACTGGGAAAGTCTAGAGAACTGACACAAGAAGGAGGCATCTGGAAGTGGTCAGAAGTAAATAATTTTTAACTATGTTGATGTTAACTGGTCTACAGTTATCCAGGTAGTATCCAGGCATCAGGCATCCAGGCATCAACATTGTTTCATTCCCATCTGCATCTTAACTTCAAAACTTTGATACCCAAACACATTTGTTTTCCCATGCACATTAACACAGCCTCATACTTGCCTTGAGGCATTACTCTGTCTCATACTTGAGAGCAACCTTGCAAACAGGTCTACTCCTCTATCTTCTGCCAACTACTGCTTTAGTATGGAGTATTTCAGATGGTCACTAGTTAGTTTGCCTTTTTTTCCCCCCAAGAACTACCAAAGATCATAGCTTGTTATGTAAGAGCTACAGAAACCCAACATCTGCTAGCAGCTGCTGCCTCAAAAATCAAGAAAGCTCAGCAGTGTTCACTCCTGTGTGAAAGAACCCATTTTACTTGCCTAGGGCAGAAAACCATGTTCCTGAGAAAGGGTAAAAATCCTGCCAACCAGCTGGTTTGTCTCAGCCCTGAGTGAGGAAGTCACTCCCTGGCCCCTCTGCAAAACACAGGCCACTATTCTGGAAATCACATTTGTTTTTGTCCAACTGAATTGATAACACAAACCACAAATTTCTACAACACGTACAACTATTGAGTGGCTGGTATTTTGCATATTCATTAATTTTGAGAATAACTGATTGCAAAAATAAGCAAACACAGAGCAATGACAAGTACAGTGATCAGCATGCAATATATGTTACTATTGTAACGCAGTGTACGCAAACATGCAATAGTTCTTCCTACTGATTTACCCTGCCATCAGTTCCATCTGTCAGACCTAAATAGCTGCTTCATTATTCAAAAAGCAAAAGGATTGCAGAACATCTGTCAAATATCCTATATGACACACTTCAAATACTGTAATTGTCCACAAAAATGTAATTACTCTGTGTAAAATGCATTAGGGACAACAAGTTGAAAGGAAAGGCTATAACTGTTTCCATGTTTTCATTACAATAGTCTTCAGCCTTAAAATTACAGTATTTTCCTCAAAATAAAGTTAAGAATATAGATAGATTTTCTTTGTGTTTTCCTATTTCACATTCTGAACAGTGCAGCCTAATAAAATAATTAGCCAGACATTCAATAACTTATATGGCCTATAACAAACCACCTCCAATTTTTCTCTACAAGACAGTTCTTAGTTTGTACATCAGCATTCACACACTTGAATGTCTAACATACAAAGCTGGTACACTACTTGAAAGAGCAATCAAGCCATTAGAAGACAAGAAATTTGTTCACAAAAGACTTTTTAAAGTGAGCCAGAAATTTATCTACTCAATTCAAATCACTAAAAAAATAATCTCATGCCAACTGGAAAACTGTATTTTGCTATTCCATTTTTAGACTGTATTTTCAGATACAGAAGCCATTTGTATAAAATATAAGTAGTATCTTAACCTGTTTTTACAGACATACATACAAGTTATGAATACTAACTTTTACTGCAGAACTATGTACAATATTATGTATTCTACAACTGCTCAGAATACACTGGAGTTTTTTTACTGACCTCGATTTCCACAGAATTGTGAAATTGACATAGAGTAAGCCAGAGAATTTCAAACCTAAAAGCAGAAAAAGATAGGGAAGGATGGAGAAAAAAATATATGTAGTGAAACTGTAATACATTATGTTCCAAAGTCCTCACGTAGCATCCTACTTGTAGTATAATCATATTCAGATAAAAATTATCAGAAAAGGCCTTTGAAAGTACTTCTATATATTACATTCTGTAAGGTGGAACAAAAATTTACACTGAATTGGCATCTTAAAAAATACTCAAAAACAGGAAGACAAACAGTGAAAGGTAATATATGCATAACATGTTAAAGGAAGAGTAGATTTGTTCTAGAAAAATGCAGTATTCAGCACAGAGCTAGCAAGATTAATTATGCAACCACTGAGATTTTATCATTACCTCAGTTTGGAATCAAAGTTCATTATACTTCCAAAGTCTGTTAATGAAATGCAGTATGTGTGTTTTAGTAGCCTAAGATACAAGATAACTGGAATCAACTTGACCTTAGAAAGCATTAAGATTCAAATCCAGGAAAGGATTTAGTAAACCTAAATTAAGGAGCAGTGTCAAGTAGCCACATTTTCATACAGTATCTAGGTAGTTACAGTGGTCAATCATTGTGAGGGGATGGCAGGCCAAAATCCTCTCACACAGATAAAGGGCAGTTCCTAGAAGCAAAACCCTACTCATCTTGTAATACACCCACGTAGGGCTGCAAAACATTTCCCCCCTGCTTCCTTCTTACTGAGCTTCCAACATATCAAAGCAAAGAAAAGAATCAGGAACAACAATGGAGCCTGTAATTTGAAGTTTACATTCCTGACAGAAACACGTAAGTCTGGTTTCTAGGTCCTTGTTCAAAAGCATTAAAACCCCCCAATAAGTTACAAGTAAACTTTTCTCTCTGCCATCTCTGTAATCCTCAAAGATTGAACCCTGAATTTAAATGAAAATTTAAAACTGATAGAATCTGTATCCAACTCAACTAGGGTCATTCTTTGTTTTCAAGGTAGACTCAGTTGATCTGTTCTGAATACTGCCAAGGCAGTAAAAACCTTACTTTCAATGATTTAAGTTTGCATGTGACAAGTTTTCAATCCATCTGACAGGCTACAGCACTTTTAAACAAACAGAATACTCCTAGAAACAGAAACACTTCCAGATTTCTGTTTTAGTGTGAGCCAAAACAAAGATATGTTTGCTGAGAAAAGGAAGCCTGTTATCAGTCTTAATAGCATTTTCTGCTAAGACATCACAAATACATTTTAGGTCACCCAGGAGAATTAATCCTAATTAAGCCAAGCTGTAATTTAAACTGACCCAGTCAATTTGCATAACATCACATGTTGCTGCAGATTCTGATTCAGCTTTAATTTAATTTAACTTTATTAGCAGAGATCAACACTTCTGAATAAGGGTTTTCTAGACAGTCCAGTGATCTGAGGCAAGACACCTACAGGTTTTTTCTGTCTTCCTCTGTGTTCTTGAGTCCTCAGTTAGGATACTAAGGTGGAAGTAAGCTGCTCACCTTTCTCCTCTATGGCTGAGTTACTTGTTCACATGAATTGCAGTGCAAATGCAAGGGAAGAGGCCGGAGCTCACGAGAACAAAAATTCCTTTATGCAGCAAATGCTGCAGTGTCTGTTTACATTATACACAACCATGGACTCATCTACTTCCAAAGTGACAAATTATTTGTAAGCTGAACCTCTGCAAGTGTTCGATGATCTCCTCAAGTCTCAAAATCATGTCCTTAATTAGACCTGGTTCCTAAGTGCAAAACTTAATTGACAAAATTCTAAATTACTTGAATCTTGGCTAATCCCCATGGTTTCCTCATTATTACTGAAATATAGGATGTCACATGGGACATTCAAAACAATACAAAGCATTAACCACAGAAGCCAACACTCCTTTAATTAGGGTTCAAAATTTGCTGTTTTCCTCTTGATCCAAACATTTTGGAATTTTTATTCAAATCCAAATGAGAAAATAATGCTTAACATTTTTTTAAACAAGCAAGAACTGCTTTTTTCAATATCTTATATTGCATGAATTTGCTAAAGAACCTCTAGAATAACATTTTGTTTAAAAAAAGGTCGAAATTATATTCAGACAAGATAATGGAAACAGTATCTCCAAATTCTTTGAGTGGGTCAACTGCATTTGTGAGAGTAGACCACTTTCAAACAACAGCCATAGATTTTATATAGTAAGATACCAAATCAACTTGCAGGCATAGAGCAGAAGCAAGTTGTTTTACTTCAGGCACTTGGTTAAAAAAAAAAATTGAAATAAAAACCTAAAATTCTTTCTAAAGAGAAGAAAACCAAGAGAGTCATAGCAGCTGAAGTACGTTGTTATTTACACCTGGATTCCGCTTAATGACTATTAGTATAATTAGAGAATAATAGATAAAAGATAAATTAATACCAAAAAATAATCAAATAACCAGCAACTGGTTGACTATATATGCATATAAGTCATATAAATAAACACTAAGTGAGGAAAGCAATGATAAAAGCAGTAAAACATTAACCACTTACGCTCCTGGCCCCTGCCATGTCCATGTGATTGTGTCCTAAGAAAAGAAGTGTGACATTTGCAATTAGTTATTGTGCATTCAACTTTTTACATTGCACACAGCATAACTAACAATATATTACTAAGAAGCTTTCATGGAAACTTCTATGCTGTCTTTGCAAAAGTTCTTAACCCTGTTAGGAATCAGCCCGTCTTTTATACAGCTATATGGCCAAAATGAACACTGTGTGAAACACTAAGAAAGGACAAATCACAGTAAAAGAAGAGAACAAGATGCAAATAGCAAAAAGGGAACAGAGACCTGTAAAGCAATATATAACAGGTAGGAATATGACGGTAAAAATCATCCCATTTTTAACTAATACTAAGAAACAGCACAGGAAAAAAACTGCAGTACTTAGAGATGTGATTTAAATGTACAAAAAAGGATCTAAAAACCTACAAATTAGTTCTGTTCTAACTTGGAAAAAGAGTTCAAGTCATTATTGTAAAGACAAAAAGACACATAAATTCAGGTTTCTGAAAAACCTGATCAGAAAAATATTTTTTCAACCTACTGAACATGTTCCAGTTCAATTCTATGTTACCATCCAAACCCATTCTAGAGATTTCAGGTGATCACATGTGCCATGACCATGAAAAAACCAAGTTAACTCAAGTTTTAATTACCATTTAGAGCCACCTAAAGTAAAAATAAAAGGAAGCAAACTTATCCATAAAAGGTGAAAAATGCGATTAATGATAGAACAACAGCTTGGAGAATAGGGTCAGCATGTCATAAAGATCCACTAAAAATTTAAAACTTGACATTTAACAGTTATTTTCAATCAAACGAAATACGATAAAGGATGAGTCTATCTGTAGCAGTCAATTTATCTGCATTAAAAAACCCCACCTCCATGTACTGATATTTTAGAACTATAAAGTGGATAGTTTTACTGTTACACAGTTTCTGGCTGTTTTGATGTCTCTGATAACACTGCAAGTAAGCGTATAATGGCTTTTGTCTTTTTCCCACAAGGAACTTTCATTACAAACCATGAGAAACCAGTGTAGATAGCTGATAACTTATCTAGACACTAGATCTGCCTTATAGAGCACCAAGCACTACACATCTCTAACTCAGCTCTCTAAATTGCAAAGGCACAGAGCGAGATAAAGAAAAATGTCATCTCCATGAAAGTGTCTGGATCATTGAACAGGGCACAGGTATTTTCAGAATGCAGCCTCATGCTGGCTAGCTGGTAAGTCAAAGTCAAGTAAGCCATCAACAATCCTGCAAGAAATTCCCAATGCAAATGTCATAGTTGACAGGCATGCTTTTTTTCGTCGAAGCATCAGGATGCATCAGGGATAACGGCCAGGGAAATGGCTAAGGGAAAAAGGGATTCTGATCTGCAAGAGGCAGATCCACGTTACAGGAGACTCCTACCAGCATAGCCAGTATCATAGCCAATATCACCATTCTTTGAAACTATTGTATCCAAGTAATGAATACTTTAAATTGTGTGGAAGTACATAAAATGATACAATAACTTGGTTGGAAGGGACCTTTTAAGGCTATCTACTCCAACTCCCCTGCAATGAGCAGGGGAATCTTCAACTACATCCAGCTGGCCAGAGCTCCATTCAACCTGACCTTGAACATTATCCCCTCTGTTATTTCCGCTCAGCATGGGAGGAAACAGGCAGAAAAGCCATCTTCCATAGAATTTGTATTTGACACAAAAAGATACTGAGAATCATATGCCAACCTTCAAAGAGGAGACTGGCTGTGTTTTACAGGTTCAGTTAACCCTGATATACCAACACTGTACAAGAGCTGCTGCCAAACTGCTTATCAAATAGCACAGTTACTTGTGGAAGACAAATGGACATAAAATAGATTTTACATGGCTCTGTGATATTTAAACATGTTTATAGTTTATATATTTTCATAATTTCATAAGTAACAGCACTCTGACAGAAAATTCAAATGAAGAAACAAGGGAAAGAAGTAAAAAATTGTAAAAAGGACTGCAGTAGAGAACCTATGGGTGAAGACATTAGAGCATTTATTCTAATTAGAATATAGTTAATAGCTCTCAGGCACCCAATACCTAAAATATTACCAATCTAGACAACCAGTAGCAAAATTTGGAATATCAGGTCTAAACAATATTTTAAGCCTTAATTTCTTTCTGCTCATGCATCAAGCAGAGAAACATATTAAAATATTACTACTAAAAATCACTGATACAGGACCATAGATGTCATCTAATACAAACAGTCACAAACCCCAGGATGACTGTTATTCAGGGAGCGACTCTATAAAAAATATAAAACACAGAGTTCTTCACAGCAACCAGAACTAGATTTATTTGCTAGAAAAAAACCCTGAATTTACTTCTTCACTTTTGCTATGTTTCAGCCCACTGCAGAACAGCAGTACTATCCCTAGCTCTTCAACAGTCTACAATGAAATAAACATTCCAGAGTGCAGACACCGACTACATTCACCCCAGGCTCTGATCTCAAAAAGCCTCTCAAAACAGCCAGGTGCACTCAAATCCAAGACTGTTCTCATCTATATTGTGGAACTCAAAGCTCTGAACATAGATCAGGGCAGGCACTTCAAGCAAAACGCAGTGGGGTGACTGAACACAATGTGTATCTGGAGTTCACTGGCTAAGCAAAGGTCTTAAGGAGTTCCTTTCTAAACCTAAAATTATAATATGCATCAGTCAAATAAGACAACAAATAGAAAGCCAGAGACATTTAAAGTTTGCTAAAAATGTTACCTTAGTGTATGAAAACCAATTCTCATTCCCTACTCTGTTCTTACATGTGTTGTGGTTTAATCCCAGCTGGCAACTAAGCACCACACAGCTGCTTGCTCCTTCCCCGCTCCTCCCCCGGGGTGGGCAGGAGAATTGGGAAGAAAAGGTAAGCCTTGCCTTGTAGGTTGAGATGAGAATAGCTCAATAATTGAAACATAATAATCTAACTCCGTATTCCTAACCAAAATAAACTTCATCTTCGTGTACCACATCATATTCCTTCTGCCTCTCCTCCTTCTAACTCTGATGCAACTCTTCTGCAACCCCCAAGCTAATGGAAAAATAAAGCAGTAATAGCAATTACCACTTCTGTCATTAATGCTTGGACCTTTGGAAGGTCTCTAGGAATTAGATCACAGGAGGTTAAATGACTCAGTAAGGCACTGAAAATGAAATGTTTTACAGAAAGTAAAAATAGTAGGAAAAACTTAAGTCCCATACACAAACTCATGCCAGCTCACAATGGATATCTATATAACTAGTTAGAATTTCTTTTACGACATTTTTGCCATAACATAAAAATTATAAAAAAATTTAATTTACATTTATATTGTTTTACTTCAACATTAGAAGCTGACAAGTTTCTGTCAGTAAAGTGTTAGGAACATTCACTATTGGTTTACAAACATTGAATATTATGTACTACAGGCAATAATGACATTTCAGTATGCACCTGGATTTTGAGGATATTTACAAAATAACATTTGATAGCTTTATATTGCTATGGGCTTAACATTAACAAAAAGTTACAAGGCATATTAATATGACATAAGCCATGACCATGTTTGCCATTTTAAATGGCAGTGCCATCAAAACTTCAAACTATTTTTAGAAAAGGATCTGTCTTCCTGAAAATATAACAATTATGTAATGAAAAGTCCCAGGTAGCCTGCTACAATGCACTTGACACTATGTAAGCATATCAGGCTGCTACTCTTGTCACAGCATCTGCCAAGATAATTTCTGGGTTTGTTACTGCAAACTATTTGATTGCCATTACACCTTGACTCAGCCAAGAGCAAACGGTGGTCTGTGTATATTAACTTTGCTTGGATCCTTTTTTTTTTTAAATCAAGCATATGTTTTATGTTTCACCTGTAAATGACAGGAAGAACAGTGGATGGAAATATTTGTAAGCTACTCAGGTACCAAGAAGAAACAAAATTCTTCCTTAGAACAAGGGGTTGTTAATGGGCTAGTCAGAGATCTTCTGATGTGACGTGCATCAGTAAAAGAGACCAGGTGGTCCTTATTTTATTTCTGACACTCTTCATACCCTCCCCTAAGTAACTTCCACTTCAGAAGGGGACAAACTTCAGATATTGTAAATAAACATTTAATAATCTGCATTTTACCTGAATATAATTTACATTGGAAGACTAGTTCAAATTAGCTAATCACCATGCTTAGCATGATGAATGTAAAACAGACAAGATGACACTATAAAGTGCAGAGGTCCTCAACACATTATCCTATACCATTCATCCAGTCACAGTAGTTCATGACTAACACCCCCAAAGGCAGGAGATGAAGAAGCATCTTCCAGCAATAAATGACATTAAGAAAACTCTCCAGCAAACACTGCAGGAACAGGGAGCACTTAGGAACACAGATCCTGGACAGAAATCGTCATTTGTCTCATTATTTGTTGAGTACTTCTTGTAACAACCTGAACAACTTTCAAAGCAGAAACATTTAAACTGTTTCAGTTAAAACTCTCTAACATTGCTTGAGGCTTAATGAATAAATGCTTAACTAACAATAACTTAGTCATGATTTTTGAATTTTTAAACCTAAAAGGTTATACAATGCACTTCAATGAAAATGCCCTGAATTTCAAGGACACTGCAAGCTGAACTTACCAGTTTGTTTGGATAACGTAAAACCACTGGCTGCACAGGAACCCCAGGAATAAACGCTCCTAGAAGGCACATACAATACATAATTAATTTACTGTGCATTTTGATAGAGAAGAAATTTACTGCAGCAAGAAAAAACTATACAACTAACAGACTGATAGGAAGTAGTTGGTGAAAAAACAGGATCTGAAAGTAGCCTCAAAAGTAATCAAAAAAGCAAGCCCTGGAGAATGACAATGTATATCCTCCTCTTTAGCAGACAGCTAATTAAAAATGTTTGCTTATATTACTTAAATTATCCTCTACCACTTACACATACTGTTATTTACACAAGTCAAAGCTTAGTACCAAATTCAGCTCAATAAATGGATATAAAAAATGAGCATGCAGAAGATGGTTAAATTAATTTATTCCCTGTGGTCAACAATATTTTTGGTCTGAACAACAATAATTTATAGGTAATTTCTCATCTCTGAAATAACAGAATTAATGTCACTTCTATTCTGTAGCTATGGGAAAACTAATAGTTACAAATTGAACTAGAGCTATATTGAACTAGAGCTATTATTCAGAAGCATTGCTTCACTTCATGGGAAAATTACAGTTCTGATAAATAAGCAGCACAAGTTCTGTGTCATTTGCTAAGCATTTTCTTGGTTTCTAATACAAAGATTGGGTAAGCATGATAAGTATCTTGTTCAAGACTTCACTAAACATCTCTTTCTCTCATGAAGAAATTAAGAGTTTCACTCAAATTATGTTATTCTTGACAATTTACTACGGTCTCCCTAATACTCCAATTAAAATTAAGAACTGAACAATTGAAGTACACTGTATTTCTAGCATAACATTTGCTTTACAAAATAACTGTTGAGACTTAAAAGGAATAATTGTTTATGGAGTATAAACATCTTTAAATGAAGTTGATATGTATAGAACCCTTAAGAGATTTGGAGGCCAGTGGTACCTTCTGCTCAGTCTCAAAGAACAGTCTAAGCAACTTTTGAAATAATCCAAAGCTGACAAAAGCTGAGAGGTAGATGACAACACTACCATTTAAACACAAACACAAAACCAAGAAAATGTGCAGTAAGAGTAAGGAGCATAGGCCATGTTAGCAGAAGGGGGAAAGGCATCCTGATAGAAATAACGTGAATAGAGACGTAAAGTAACATGATATAAGTGAGGAATTTTGAAGCAAAGGATTTCTGGAAGGCTGGATAGATACAGATGCAGGTTTCAGTAGGAAAAGTGACAGTCAAGAAGCAGACAGCAGCATGTACTACACCAGAGCAGAGGAAGACAGAGTGAGAATGTAAAGATGAAATACATGGTGCCTGGAGTGTCTATGGCACAGAGGGAGAGCAGGAAATCGGAGCTTCACAAGAAGGATTCAGGCTAGCTTTCAAAGCATGGTCAGGATTCAGGTGAAGAGAAGAGAGCAAAGAGCTACAGAAGTAGGTGTTTCCCTAACCACCATTCTGTCATCTAAAAAGGTAAGAGCTGAGAGAAAAGTCTGAGATACCTTCAGCCAAATGAATCAGTGCAAGGAACCACAGTGCTGACTCACTGCATAATATTCTAAGTGATATTTAAATTGCAAGCCAAACAAAACACAAAACACACAGTAAGACTAGAAACCAGGCAGAAAACTAAGAAGTCCAAAAACACATTCACAGCTGCCTTGCTCACTGAAGCTTCTTCATTGACCATCTCCCTACCTAGGTGATAAAGGCAAGTTTACATTAAAGATTCGTGGTTTACTGCAGTACTGGCATTTGTGAATTGCATTTCCTACTGGAAATGCAATTTACAGCTGCATCAATGTTCAGTGTTACACCCTCTACTAATCTGATAAACTAAAAGGGTGATCCTACTGAAAAGAGCTTAGAACATGGATGTTATGTAAAAAAATGGCAGCCTGTGTAACAGTGTTACATGGGAAACATTTTTGAGCACTTTTCACCAGAATGCAACTCCACAGAAGAGTTAGAGAGGGATCAGCCAGATACAACACAGCAACAAATGCTGGGCATCCTGAAATAGGTACACTACAAAGCTTAAGGTAGCAGTGAGTATCTAAATGCTGCATGACAGACCCAAAATAGGAAATGGAGGGGACAAAGGAAAAAAACAAAAGCAAAAAGACACAAACCCAGATCCAGGAAGAAACATTACTCCTTCAGTTCATATGCATCTCAGAAGCCAAGAAAAAAACCTGACTTATTGAAACTGTTTTGTTCAACAATAGAATTACAATCTTCCTGTAGCATCAAAATTTATATTCCAATTTCACCCTATTGCAAGGTTTTTAACTCAACTTCTGCAACAGCAAGCAAATTAAAATGCAACTGGTATTTCAGAAAATGAAGATACAAGGACATTCTGTAGAGAACAGAGAAACGAGCATAATACCTACCAGGTTTGAATGTAATTAGACAGGATCGGTTTGTGCAAGTGCCCTCTGGGAATATCATTATCTTGAAGTAAAAAAAAAAGTTGACTTTTAAGAACTATTTCAATGTGAATTTATTTACAAATACATATTTTCAAAGCTGTTATTAACTGATTACAGCAAAAATGTTCTCAGGGAAAAACAGTTCAGTTAGAGTAAAAAAAAATGTTGCTGAAGATGTCAAGTAAGGTTCTACCTTAATAAGAAAAACATTTTTCTTTATCTGTGATTTTGCCTCTTTTTACCCTCCAATAATAATTCTATTTATTGGAACACTGACAATGACCAGAAACACTTGTTAAGTATGAATATTTTCACTGAAGATTTTGGTGCTAGAAAAAGTATCATAGTCTGTAGTGTACCAGAACAAAATTCCTGCTTACAGGCTAAGAAAAGAGTTATTTTCTCTTTGCTATTCCTTGGCATGTGCACAGATGCCCAAATGACAGAGACTGAAAACACCTGAACAGAATTCTAAAAAAAGGGGCAAAACCACTTAAGTTGAACCAATTCATCGGAAGAGAGAGAGTAGACTGTACAAAAACAAACAAAGCCCTCCCCCCCACACCCCAATCCATATTAGGACTAGGACTAACATTACTAGTTTTATTGCCCACTCTGTCCTAGCTTGCTTTGAAATCTAATCATCAAAGTCACAATGCAAAAGCTATAAATCACCTGTTACATTGTTTATAGCTGTTTATAACATTTTTGCAGTCCAGTAAGCAGAGGTATACCCACTGTTAGCAGCAATAATCCCATAAAAAATATACAGTGCTTTAATCTCAAAAAACACCGGAATGCTTCAAATCTGCAAAATAATCACATGCTTCTAGGAATCTGAGATCTTATATACCATCCTTTCCTTCCCATTGCTCTCTCTCAAGGCACACTATAAATAGCTACATTTAAGGTGCAGAAAAAAGCCCTGAGCCACTTGTTCTATCCAGGTTTTCCTCATGTGTTTTAACAGAGTGGTTATTGGAACATCCAAATTTTTTGGGGTGCCTTGCCCAGCATCTTCAATAATGGCAATGCCATAATCTTGCAAAGGGCAAGAACACACAGTACTTCCCCAGGTATTCTGCTAAGCACTTCATTTTTTTCCTCTTAGAGGACTTCCTCACCTGCTGTGGTCTGTCCATTAGTCCACCTAAGAGCTGCCTAGCCATGTACTTACCCAGTTTCCCTCAAAACACAATGCAATGAGACACAGATGAGAATCTTATATTTTATCTTCTAAAAAGAGGGGGTGGGGGAAATTTCACACACATGCACACCACCCCAAACCATCTAAAGCCACCCACAATGAAGAAAGCAAACTGCATATCCCAAGCCTGGGAATGCCAAATAGCATCTCTTACAGAGTAGCAGAATACAGTACCTGTGGCCATTTACCATCAGACTGGGCACGCCTCTTTATCTCTTCAACAGTTTTCCTGCGAGAATCCTGGTCTGACCGAGATACAAATACTGGTCGGATATATTTGATCAGAGCTGAAGAGGAGGGAAAACAAAAACAAGGACCTTTATTTTTCCTTTGTTTGAAAAAGATCCCCCACCCACTCCATACATCCCCACTCCTCCCCCCCCACCAATTAGTCCTCTGGACAAAAATTTTTGTGAACAGAACATGACTACTTTACTATATTACACTGCCAAATTGAATACTCAGCTGAATTATTGCAGCTTTATTGAAATATTTTCCTAAGTTTCTATGAGGAAAACAGTTTTCAAAATTTTAGCATTTTTTCAGTTTTTAGAAGATCAATACATACAACACAGATAATGCAAAATATGATGGTACATATTATACAGTTTTCCACAACAATGCAGCAGTGGCTGTCTATAGGCCATTTCCTCCCTCCACAAAAATCAAAGTCTATAGCCACTCCCAAACCAGCAAAGCAGCAGGAATCTCCCGGCTACCAAAGTGCTTGTAAAAGTCATCCTCTCAGTCAAACTGTCTCTCTCTTTAAAACTTTTGTCTTCCATGACAGTTCAGTTCCACTGAAGGTACAGCACTCAGGATATTATATACACTGATGTTATTTTTTTGTGAAGAATCAGTGTCAACAGAAAAGGCATGCTCATTTTCTCAGTTGTCACTTGTTTGCCTGTTCCTCATACCAGATGAATTAGATCTCAGACATCCTCTTTCTGGCTCAGTGGGAAACCTCTTGTATGTAGCCAGACACAAAATGAACATGAGCAAAAAATCAGATCAATCCACAAGATACTCTCAATGCATGTCTGTCACAAAGACACCAAAGAATACTTTCAAAATAATAAGAAGCCCATACAGCTCTTTTGCAGTGTCCAAAAGCACTACAAGAGAAGCACCTTCAAATATAGTTCTCTATGCCTTTATTTAAGCAGGTTGTATTCCAAAACCTTTTAATAATTTTTGTTTCGTGTAATCTTACTTGAAGGTTCAAGAGTCACTAGAACATCAGCTATTCTACTTGCCTCAAGTACAGTTTTCATTTTTCCAGCCACTGTGAGAAGAGTTCACTGACACTGTATAATCTGCTTTTGTCAGGGATAGACTTGCTACATTAACGGATCAGCCAGTGCTTAAAGTGTGAAGAAAAAAACAGTGTAAGGAATTACAGCCCTGTACTCAGCAGAAGCTGCTGGTTATGGTGTTATCCCACTGGAAGTTTAGCCACTAACTCACCAAAATCCTTCAATTCTGAAGGTTCTGAGAAACTAATCTGTCAAACCTTACAGCAAGTTCCTAAACATTCAGCCAGCCTCTGAAATATTACTTTTATCCCACAAGTTGCCACAGCTCAGGAGACAGTATATCAGAAAAGTTACTTTACTCCTGTATTTTTCCTACATGCCTGTTCTCAGACAATATCTATAGAACAATGCTTGTCAGGGGAGCAAAGATCATCTTTGGCCAACTGGGGTTACTGTCATGGTGAGGTAAAAACAAACAAAGATGCCCCAAAATAAACCACAAAAAGACTAACACACAAAGAATAGGGGGGAAAAAACCCACAAACACAGAACAAGCAATAAAAATAACAAGGGAAACCATACTTGGTATCATAATTGTTTTCTTCTTAGTGATCCTACTCCTGAGTTTGCCCCCCTGTTGCAATTTACTGCTCCATAGCAAAAACATTACAAAGTAAAGGAAAGCAAAAGATCTAACATCCCCAGCCTTGACTTGGAAGCTTCTTTTACATTAGGCCCAAATGACAGAATTTAGGTTACTTCAGGCCAAAGAATGAATAAGATAATTCCAGAACTCCCAGGCTCTTTTCTGAGGACATGCTGCAAGCAGGGTCTTATTTATCACACATGAAATTAAGCAAACAGACAGATTTTTCTTCAGGCAATGTGACAGAAAACATCAGACTACACTTATGTCATCAGTATCTGAGAACTGTACAGGCAAGATGGGCAAACCTGGGAGCTTTACTGTTACAACCTCCCCAGAAGCAAGCTACTGTAATGTTACTAAGCTCCAGAGGACACCAGGTGAGCTATCTTACAAATGACCAGCACCACAAACAGCAACACACCTCTGTGCAAAGAAAAATTACTCTGGTATGCTGAAAGACAGAGGCAACTGAGAGCTTCCTATGGATTTCTCCTGCCTGTTGAATTAGCCTATTAGGGTAGTTACATTAGCCTTACTTCCTTAGACATTGGACTAAAAAGGATGACAGAATTCTTGTTTTAATATTAAACAGACACTGAAGATCCTGTGAGACACCAGCTACCAGGCCCTTAGTGGTTAAGTCCAACACTTTAAGTGAACTTGAAACTCTCAGGCATCAGTAAAAAACTGAAAATACGCACCAAGGGAAGGCTTTTACTTTTCTTAACCACTTCTGAAAACAGAGCACAAGGCTACACAGACGTTTACTTTCACCACATATTTTCACGTTCAGTAAACACACAAATCTGAAAATTCAAAGGCTGTATCAAGTCGACCTGTGCAAGTAAGTCAGGAGCAGGGTCAAAGGTCTGTAAAGAGAAGCTGAAAAACATACCAAATAGGCAACCAAGATGAGATTGTGGTCAGAAGTCAAGTTGAAACACAGGGAAACAGTACCTAAGGTAGTGTGTGATGCAAGGAATAGGCAGGACTAGGGCAAAGTCAGGCCAGAAGTGAAAGCATAAAATGTTTCAGACAGCTGGCATGCTGAGCAACTAAAGGAAACAAGCAGAACTCTGCAACATGTTCAATAAACAGAACATAATCATATCCCTCTCTGCTCAGCTATTTAACTGTCCAAGACTGGCTGTAACCAGATAGTGAAGACCACACCTCAAGTGTTCAGAGATTCTGAAAAATGGGCTTGCCCAGCTCCTCTCACTCCATTAAAACCACCCTTGAATTATCAAATCTAGTGGGCAGTGACAGAGAATCCGTCAATTCACAAAATTGATCTTGAGTGTCACTATTCTAGCTTTTTCTCTAGCAGTGTCAGTCCCATTTCATCTAGTCCCTCATTTCGAATTTCAGGTCATACAAGGAGTCCTGAGGACATTGTCACGCTGTATTCTACCTTCTTAGGCAGGCATTTAATATGCAATTTAAATAATGCTGCCAGTAAATCGTTAAAACCTCTGCCTCTCAGGGCAGCCAGAATGCCACAGATATTCTAACCAACTGAAAGTTCCTTGAAACAGCCTTTTTAAAGAGAACCTGCAAAAACTCAGTATTGCTTTAATTAATAGCAGGGTGGCAGCTCCAACTGATTTCAGAACCATAACTCCCATGCAATCAATTTCAGCACCAGCACAATGCATAAACAAAACCCATCTTTTTTCCTGATAAGCTGAACACATACAGTTGGTGTCTTTAAACTTAGGATAACAGCAGGGAAAAAATTATTTCCCATCTCTCTTTGTAGGCAGGTATGTGTGAGGAAACCTTGTTTCAATTCAAGACACCAAGTGATGCATAACAGACAACAGCAGAAAGTACTGTAGCAAACCATTTATACCGGCAACATCACCCCTGGTTCCACAAGGCACCAGAGAACACACAAAGCTATGGAACACACACAGGGCACTACATACAATTCTTCTAAAAGGTATGGATACACACATTTTTGAGTGGGCAGTTAGATTTTCACCACTGTGGAATCAGAAACAAACAAAGTGACAGCTGCAAAAGCAGAGAATGCTGCAGTCGAGGCTTTCACTTCATCTCTCTCCTAAACAACACAAAACCCCACCACTACATTCTCCTGACAATTCAGGAGAATCCTACAGAGGCAGCACAACTGGCTCTGCTTCCTTTAACACTGCAGGTAAGCTGTACAAGTTGCCTGCAGTGGGATATCCCCTTACAGTATTTACTCCACAGCTTTTTTCTAGTATGGAAAAATACAGTTATTTTTCTACTAACAGTCACCAGGTTGCACATTCAGTATTTAGGGGTACAAAACCCATGAAGGATAAATGTTGAAAAGCTCTATCTTGGACTTAGTTTTCAAGAGTTGCCATACTCAAATGTACACGCTCACACAGTTCTGAACTTAAAATTTTTTAATGAAGTAACATCTAATATGAAAACTGCTCTTTTCTGCAGAGAAAAGAAGAAATCTGTAAGAGGCTCAAAAGTATTCTGAAAGTTATAGGGGAAGAAAACCATTAAGGTTTTCTAACAATTACTTCCTGCGTATACAGAGACCTCAATAATGGAAAACCTCAAGAAACATACACACACCAAATACACAAAGTTGTATCAATGCACAAAACTTAATTCAACCAAAATTAGGATCTTTTGCACTTGGAATTACATTGTTCTTACAAAAGAAGTGTTATTATAGTCATGATACTCTATAAGAGATTTGTAAAGCTGGTGGTAGTATCTTATTTTATATACAAACTTACATATAATATATATACTTATTTGACTCAAGTCTGAATCAACCACTGAAGACAGATGTATATGAAGAAAACGTCTCCAAGTTTGACTAAATGCTTAGCAGATGGACCACCTGACTGCAGGCATGCCAAGTATTCATGGCATTAATGAATGGGAGGCAGCATTAATGGGAAAGTTCTTCTCCCTGCTTCCAAAGAGAAAGGCAGGAAACAATGCAGCCTATAGGACAAGGAAAGGTCAGCAGTGGGAAGTAAATAATTGGTGTCCTATTTAGCTTTAGCAGAAGGAAGTTGTGGTATTTAGGTTGGTCTTTCCAAACGTGACCCACTTCCTTTAAGGACTCCTTGAGGGATAAAGACTTCTTTTTTATCTCAGAGACACCTGCAACACCTGTATGAGGACATGATTTTATGTTTTAGCTTTCTGCTGCCAATCTAAAAAGGATTTAAGGCAGGCAGCAGTATTGGTTTGAAGGTTTCCTATATACTGCAGTTTGTAACTTCAATAAATGATATTAATGAGTTATGGTGGTTTAAAAGCATTCCAGTAGCAGTTTAAATGAGAAGCAATTTTTACAGAATTTTCCAGGACTCCAAGCCAAATGATAAACACATACCTATAACACACAGGTGACAATGCAAGTATTTTAAATCTCTCTGAGAGAGCTTCTGTGAGACTGAAATCTTGCAGGACCATCTGGGTGCCCACAGTCTGAAGGAAACATTGAATTTTGAAACAGAGGGTTTTAAAGGAGAAGATGAAATGGAAAAGCTTGGCAACAACTTCAAGATGCTGTTCAGAAATGGGGAGCTCAAGTGTGTACTCAAGGCAGGCTACAATGCCAACACAGCATAGGATGTTGGCATTCATCCTGGTGACCTCAGCGTTCAAGCCCCTGATTTACAGTGTATAAAAGAGAAGAAATCTGTCACCTTAGAACAGATTTTTCCATAAGGAGTTTAAGGACTGTTTTAGTTAGTCTCCTAAGTGTTTAAATGTGGGATTCCCACAGAAGAACTATGGGGTTACCACAGTTCTCTTCCTTGTGTTGTATGGAAGGGGTGGGGAGGCACTTAGGATTCAGGACTAAAGGATTAGGTTGCACAACAGGGCTGGTGGGTAATTTGGCACCTTCTAAGTTTTGAGATGAAAACATAGCCAGCTACCCAAGCATAAATGCTTTCCCCTGAGTTACTTTCATCTTTTAGTCATGATGCTTGAGAAAGGCCTATAATGCACTTTCAAAAAATGAGCTTGAACAAAATTTCATGAGTTTACTAGGTGTGAAAAAAACCATCTACAACAGAACTGATAGTTTTATAGCACTGCATGATTCTCCCTTTCTCTGTAGCTCTGCTGTGTTCTGCCAAACACAAATTACCTCCTTCCCCCTTATAAACTTAAGGTAACATATCATCCTGTACATTTCACAGGTATACCAATTCCCTCTCTTTCAGAGAGCGGTGTTAGAGATATTGAGAAGTTGCCTAAAGTTTAAATTAACTTTTCACTTATATTTAGTTTCTAAAAGTTCAGGCCACTGAAAATGGTCAAATCATAAAAGTGGTCAGAAGTCCCCATCAATTCATATTTACTGATATATTCCTTGTCCTTCTTACTGAAGCATTTCTGCAGCAGGACCAATCACTGCAGCAATGAAAAACTACTTTCATCCAGGTTGCTTCAACTGCCAAAAATAAGACAGTGAACTATCCAAAATTTATGCACAAACCTTGTCCTGACTTGAAGTGGGATTCAGCAGACAAAACAGGGATGTTTAAGGATCTGTACTGATAAATTGATCTGACTTCTTCAGACCATATAAGGTATAACAGAATCCTACATGTCATTTTCCCACTGTAAGACTGAAGTGGTCCAGCAAAGTTCACATCTCCAATCTACCAAAACACTGGCAAGTCATTGTACAGAAACATTCATCTTCCTTCGACATCATGACATATTCCATCTGTTTGGCATTCTCGACTTTCCAGATACTGGGTTGTTTTTTTAATGATCATTGAAATACTGTTTATATTTGGGCAAGCAGTTCCTCCCCAGAGTTTGTTAACCTTGTGTGTGTGCCAAATGGATAATTTTCTTCACTACTGACCACTGACTGAAGAGTTCATAACTCTTCTCACAAAACCAATGAGCATTTTAAAATCTGGTTTTCTTTGTTTTCCTTAAAAGGATGAAGATATCTGTAAGAGTCACAAGACACAAGTCTGCTTTTGAAACTGGACTTTGCAAACCAGGAGAGCTGCCTTCAAGTTAGACAGCAATAAAACCCTCATACACATACAGTTGTGGAGTACTTCCAATCCCATAAAGAACAGGCTTTTAATCATCTGGACTTCCAAGTGGATCAGAAGCTTAATATTCCATGACTGACTAACTAAGAGTACAATAATATAGGCAGCTGTTCCAGAAACCTATTAAAATGCTTGCAGAACCAATCTTAGTAACAATTTAGCAATCAGATCAATTTGTGCCTGCTAAAGCACCTGATCCCTCTGGTATACAGTGTACAATGTCTTAATAAACACTGTCATTACATCAAAAGGCCATTTATTTATATCATACTTGAATATACAGGATGAGGATGTACTCTTCACCCAAAGTCCTCATCCTCGGAAATTATCTTTAAATTTCCTCTGCCATTTCATTTTTTACATATTTAAGTCTGCTCAGATACTTAAATGAATGTACTTTATTCAAAGCTTCCCAGAAGATTCAGAACAACGATTCACAAGACTCAAGAGATAACAAGTTTAGGAACATCAGTGACTGGCTCCAAAACCTTACTGAAGATAGTATACCAAGCTTGCAGGACTTATCAAACTAAAGAACATAGAACATGATTCTGACCTCTCTGGGATAAATTCTGGATGAATGTCTAGAGTGTTGACAATCCACCAGGCAATCCAACAAAAACATGAACACATTATCACATAAGAACAAGAGAAATATAAGTGGTCCAATAACATGAAATGTATTTTTTTATGTGTGTGCATGTAGAGAGGTGTAAATAACATTTGGATTAAAATAATAAGCAAAGGAGAGGATAGTCAGCACTATCTGCTTCACAGAAAACTTCTCAAAGCAGTAAAAGAGATTTTAAAAAAATCACTTTTACTGGAATTAGTTTTTAAGCCAAAGTAATCAATACAGTGATTACTACCTCTCTGTTAAGGTCCATTTACCTAAAGAACACAAACTACTGTAATTAATGTCGCTCATATAAAAGTCCACCCCTAAAAACAAAAATGGTTTTTCAACTCTCAATCCCAGTTACGACTTTTGGTATGCCTCACTTCTGTGGCATTTTTGTGAACATTTCACAAGTGACTACGTAACTTCTGTGGTTGCACAGCATACAGCAAATGCAGCTATACAAGACAAAACATTCATTTATATGACTGCACTGTACATTCCAGTAATATTCCATCAAATCACTACATGTTCTCTTTTTCTGTAACTGGTTGTACTCACATATGAACTAAATGAAGTGAATAATTTTTAAAATGCACTGCAGGAAGTCTAGACTTTCAACGGAATCCTGTAAACGTCACCTCAAAATTAAATTAGATATTTAGAAAATAATTTGATCTTCTTAATACACATTATTTGTGTTACATTCAGGGGAACTACCATCTCCATATCCTTACAGATTCTCCTGGTTCCCACTGACTCTACTACGTGGGATACCTCAGTAGCCACTATAGTACTGTCAAATGCCATTCGGGCATTCTCCCATTGCAGTAGCACAACATGGACTGGAGTTACCCCATTTAATTCGGGTCCTCCAGACAGATCACCTTCAAATCAAAGGGAGCTCCACACAGACTACTTTTATTTTGCTGAGCCAGCAATTATTAAACAGTCAACTGAGTCACCTGAGAAAGAAGATAAATCAGCCCCTGCTTCTATGTCTGGACTGCTCCTAATGCCCAAGTTGGCCTGGATACACCTGTGCTGTACAAGACTGCCAACATGCTGTCTCACAACAGTATCTTCTTTCAGTGCTGAACAAGGGAGTTCAGTTTCTTTTTGTTTTCACACAGTGTTGTTTGCATACACTTGTTTTCAGAAACACATGTCTGCATGCACCCTTTTCCTTTTTTTTCAAAGCATTTATTCATTTTTACATAGATTTTTCACTGCCACAAATTTCTAAATGCCATTAGTAAGATATTTAATGAAATTAAGATGCAACTACAGATCTGGCCTGAATTTTACCTTATTCAGGCAGACCCTTACATGACAAGATTCCTTAAATGAAACTTCCATAGCCTACCACTCCCTCTTTGTGGCCATGTCTCGCTTCTGGTTTTGAATGTGACCTTAAAAACACATTGTCTAATTAAATTTTAGAAGGATGTCAGAACCAACAGCCTGATTCCACTTAGTTGCAAAGAAGCTCAAAGCATTTGTTTAGACTTTTACATTTAAGAGTCCTATCCGTGGCCAAAGTAAAATCTTTTGTCACTTTTATATTACCCATAAAAATCTACACAATGAGAGACAGGGATATTCTTTGAACTTTGCTGGTCACTAGACACAAGATGGTGGGTTTCTCCAAAATGCTTCCACACAGGCTTTGGTTAGAAGTCCACAAGCCCAAAAGATTCACAATTTTTTGCCTGTCACAACTGCACCAAAAATCACAAGTGTCCCTCAAATATTTTTGAGAACATTTATGAATAATTCCAAAGACAGTATTCAAGCACTACTGACTCAGGCATCTGCTTTTGTCATGACTAAACCCAAGTGCACACCAATCTGCTCTTGTGCTCATCTCTCACACTCTGCCTGAAACAAACTTATTGATGTGTGAAGGATTAGCAGCACTCCCTCAAGGCAGGGTAGTGTTCAGAGCAGACCACATTCCTAAAACACATTTCTGGGAGGGCACCCCAACTCGCACCAAGTATTTGTAGACTTTCTCTCTAGCATCAGTCTTTGCTTCCATAGCTCCATCCTAATTTGCTTTTCCATCTGGCAGGTCTTAGAATGTTACAAGTTCACTGCAAATTAAACCATGAGTTTTGATGGGATTCGACTTCAGAGAAAGTAGAAAAAAAACATTCCCCTCCTGCCCCAATTTCTTCTATTGGTATTCAGAATTGACCAGTTAAAAAAAATATTCTGACCATATATTATAGCAAATTTTCCTTTCTGTTTCAATCCTTCTCATACACAGACAGTGAACTTCCTAAGCAATCTTTTTTAAATTGTTCTTGAAAAATTAAGTATCTACCAACTTACTTCCCCAAACAGGAATATCTTTGCTTTCTGCCTTCATCACAATGGAGGCGAAGGTCATGGTTACTGGAATGGCATCAAAGTAGGAAGAATGGGGAGCCACCGTTAATATTGCTGCTTCTGCTGGCAATGCCCGTCTGCCTTTTACATTTATCCAGTGGAATCCACCAGCAAGCCACATCATTCTCATTATTGCCTTCAGCAAAATATCCACTATCCTGTAAAGAGTTGGGAAAACAGTTATGGTGCCACAGGAACACCTTAAAAAAATAAAATTAAAAATTACATGCATGACAATAGTTCAGATAGGATATAATGCTTAAAACAGAGCTGGAGCACTGCACATACTTTGTTCTTCTCTTTCTCAGCTGATTTAAAACCACTTTTTAGGTAAGATGCTGTTCAGCTTCATTTATACATGAAAACTAATTCATTCTAGTCTCCAAGATCATCATTTAGTTCATCATTAATTTCAATTCGGACTACACAATGCCTAATAAGGTTTTCTAAAAAGCTCTAATAAATTCAGTCCCAAAATATGCTATTAGGATATTGCCAGAATGCACTTACCCTGGTTCTTGGTTTCAAGTTTACCCAAGCAAAACAGGACAAATATAGGGCAGAAATTCTCAAATACAGGGAAGCCTACAGGATACATATGAGAGGTCTGGAAATATTTTCCTTTCTTCCCTTTCCCCATCTTCTCCTGGAGTGATTTGGATTTTTGTTTCTTATGGATTTTTTTTCTTTTTGGTGGGGTGGAGAAGGTTTTTTTGTGGAGTTTTGTTTGTCTTTTTAAATTGTCTGACGGTTATGAAAAGAGAAACTTTGAATCAACAGAGTACAAAAATTGAACACCACAAATTGTAACACTTACAGGGATTGGAGGCTGGAGAGCAGGGTAACACTGAAAATTGGAATAAATGAGGAAGGAGAATCTAAAAAGATTCAAAATAACTGTATGCAAGACTGAAGGCAGCCAATTATTCCATTAGTTATTGTATTGATATCACTCCAAATGAAATGTAAAGTGGTTCTCAACCTCCTTCCCTCCTGTGATGCAAAACACAATCAGCTTCCTTCATGCTAATGCCAGCTCCTAATTTTAAAGTTGTCTATAGAAAAGGTGATACACCCCTCCTTTCCTGCTCCTCAAATGGCAGTTTTCATGGATGGGAGGACTACCTTAATTAGCATTGCAATATCAAAGCAACCACAGACTTTCAATAAGCACCAAAGTATGGGCAAGCCCTCGGGGAATCAACACAAGTTTTGTCAGTTCATCACAGGGTAGAAGACAGTGAGGTGAAGCAGTTTAAAACAACAATTTAGAATATGAAATCTGGGCACATTCCATAGAGTCAATCTTCATAACCAGAAGTTGACATTACAGGAATAAATGCAATGGAAGATGCCACAATAAAGCTTCACACTACCTCCTCAATAAAGATAAGAAGCCAGAGATTACCAGTGTAATTCTTGGACCACCTGGCAAATCAAAGAGTTGAGGCATTTCTGGTTTCCCAGCTGAGGAAAGTGTTTAATAATTTTTATATTTTTCTTTTGAAGAGAAAAGTACATCTCTGAGACAGGTAAATGTATTTCCCATCTCCTCTGTTCTGAACTGCTGAACTTTATAATGATCCTCTCAGTATTTCACCACACCAGTGACTCACTTTCGCCACCAGGAGAGGGGCTTTTCAAGCTCTTGCTCGTCAGATCCCATTGAAGCAATGAACGCAAAAGGCCAGGCCAGCAACATCATAAAAGCAGCAAAAAAGAGTCGGATAGGAAACAGAGTCAAGGTCATGAAGGCAATCTGCAAAATAAAAATAGTAATAAAAAACTATTATTCCAACACAATTTCAGACTGAAAAGGTCAGTGATTCCTAGAAACTGATACCATTTCTTAACTTAAAAGTATCTTATGGTAGAAACAGCGGAATACCATTCAGTTCTGGGTATGCCAGATAAGGGTAAAAAAAGCACACTTTTCAATATCACAATAGCTGGGCAAGGATGAGTAACAATGCATAAGGTGCTGTCTCACGTTGTGCTTATCTGATGCATCTCCAGGCTGCTGTGGAAAGATTAATTCATATTCTTCTCTTCCCCAATGCAGATCTAGTCATCATGCAGCTCACTCTCCACTTCCTCTCACTTCCCAAAACAGCTCAACAACCAACTCACTCTGTAGGTGCACAAATCTGTAAATCTAGGGTAGGTGCAGGGAACACACAGCAGGAGATACCACTCCAAGATACCACTTTCAAGCCCTAAGCTACCAGCCCACTGCAGCTGGATTTTATAGTGCTGGTTCAGGCTGGCACCATCATCTCATAACAACCACAATCTCATTCTCCAGAAGAGGATTCCAGTCCCTATGGAGACTCTGCTTTAGTTTGCAGAACTGACAGAAAAAGGAATTTTTTTTCTTAGATAGGCTAGTTTCCCAGATGAAGCAGTAAAACTTCACCCACTACAATTGTCAGATAAGCACCAAAGTTACACCAACTCACACAACTCTGCATCCACAGACAAGACCACCATGCCTGTCAGCAAATAAAGGAGCATTCTGGAGATGAGAGCAGCTGCCTTCTAAGTTTCTAAAATGAGAAGGACCAGCTGCTAAGAAATAAGTGAAGTAAAATGCAGGTGAGGACACAGACCTTTGGGATTCACACCTCCTTCTCCTTCCCTCCCTCCCAGTCTTCTCCTAGTTGAGGGCAAAGCTGAATGGCAGGTGACTGGTAGTGAAGTACTCCATCCCTTGACACTCTGTACCAAAGATCATTTTAGTTCCATGTCACAGATTGAAAGCAGAAGTTGTATCCATAATGCCATAAAAGATGGCATAGATGTGCAGAAAAGGCTTTTTGGTCTCCCAGAGACAGCAGGGATAGTAATGGCCAGCAAAAGCAAATGTACAGGGTCTGGCTGTGACACCAGCCTGTTTTTAGCAGGCAGTAGTGAGCAGAGTACCTGCTCACACAAGAAATTTGGCTGGAGAGAAAAATATGTCTACCTCTTGAAGAAGGCTAGGAATTAAGAAAGGTGTTAACATTTGAAAAGTAGCTCAGTCTGTGTCTACGTTCAGATATCCTCTCAGGTAAGAAAGCTTCTATCCTGTAAAACCTATGTATAGCAAGTGTCAGTGTCAGACAGAAAAGGAGAAGATCCTGTCCCCACTGGCCACTGCCAGAGACCAGAACGCAGGAGACATACACTCTGGCTCTGATCTTATGTGGACACTATTTTGGTGATCACATTCCTACATATTTGGGATGTTCATAGAGACATGTCTTCCATTAAAATTATGAATTCTGTTTGGCAACAAGTAATGTGTGAACACCTGTGTTTTGAGATACATTTAAAAAACTCTAAAGGTCTGTCTGGAGTTGTACTTTGAGGGGCTCAGCTCACGACCAAAGAAATCTCAAGAGAGGGTTGACTACAGCTTATTTACCATTTGCTGGTCGACAGCATCCAACTTAGTTTTTCAGAAGCTGCAGTGTATACTGTGAAAGACCTATGGACAGCTTGTAATGGAAGGCTGCTCTGGGAAACTGATCTCCATTCTTCCATCAGAAGGGCTTAAATCTGATGTAAGGCAAGTCACTTAAACGAAATAGGTATCATATGTTCCCCTTGTTTAGAGAGACTGCATTCAGATTTAAGTATGACCTCACAATGAAGGTACAAAATATGAACTCAAGTTTCAAGTTCTCCAAAATATCTGGTCCTATGTACCTAAGCACTGAGCAAGAGAATCACAGAGTACCCTTGTTTCTACTTCTTAGGTTTGTTTCCTGTCTTGAAAACCAGTATCATAGCTCTCATGCACAAGGAAGCTAAAAAAAAAATGCATCTTGGAAATTACCAATCCCATAAGAAACATCACTGAAAACAGTTTATTGCCAACAAAATGTCCATGACTTGCTACAAAGTAGCAGCCACAACAATGAGAAAGGAAATACTATTTGACACAGTAGATGTTTTGATTTTTCTTTTACACTTATCAGATAGAAATTACATCTTACACTTATACCTCCTCAGTATTATCACCCCTATAGCTCAACTCACCAAAGATGGCAGTGCAGGAGCTAGGAATTAATCCCTCAACCATTCTCTCACTACCCACTTCCCCACTCTGCAAGTTCCCCAGCAGACACATCCATGGAGATAAATACAGCAGGATATATTTTCCTGTGCAGCTAAGCCAATCTAACAGATCGCTGCTGTGAAAGAGTGGTCCTGCTCACTCTCTCCTCAATCCTCCCCCTGAGTCAGCTCTAGCACTTATGTGAGCCACCAATGAGCCAATATAGCTCATTAGTGAGAAAAAACACAGCCATCCCAGCAAAAGAAAATAATCAGAACACAAAAACACAATGATATGCTGATTTAATGAGCCAAATCAGCTCACCAAGGCACCAAATGAACACCAGCACTGGTGAAATAAAAGGGCCAGAAACACTGGAAGAAAGGAAAATGGCATTGTATTATGTTTTGAAGCAGCAGGGAAAAAAGCTACAGATGCTTACTGACAGCTCCAGTAATGCTTCTGCCTGCTCTGCAGTGGTAATAAGAATCGAGAGCTTGGACTTACATGACAGGTGCCCAGAAGACGTTAGCATGAACAAAATCCATGGTTAATAAAACCATGTCTGTCTTTCTCAAAGAAAGAATATTTTTATTATAGCACTGAAATAAAACAGGTAGCTTCAAGAATGACCCCTGCTGTCACCCTCAGATCAGAGTAAAATAGCCATAATTTCTACTGATGAGACTCTGTTCTGAAACAGCCTTACTGCTTTTATGCTCTTGTAATCTCCCAGTTTTTATAAAGTCAATGAAAGATGACTTGAACAGTTCCTTGATGGCCAAAAGGATTTCTCTGTACTGTTGTTCTTTCTCCCTGTGGTTGTTTTACCCTCTCACTTTCTACCTTTCTTTCACTCCCACAGTCTCAGGCTGGAACATGCTAAAAAGCATCTACTTCCGAGCTGCATTGATGAATAAAAAAGCTAATCTAACCTCTTGCAGAGCGCAGGACGAGGTTGTAACGAAGATAATGGGGCTATCTGGCACACCATCAGCAACAGACACCAGACCATGGGACAAAGCAGTCTTGTCTCCCAGTCCCCTGGGCTCCCTACTTAGTGTAGCTACATTCCTACCCTTCCTCGATAGCCTGTGCAATCCCAGGAACCCCCGACAGATTCTCAGGACAGACAGAAAAGTCTGTGACACAGTGCATGCCTGCAGCTGAACAGGAAGTGAGTTCAGCTGCAATAGTTCACACCGAGTGCTCAGTAGCCCTCCAAGGCTGTTCGGAGGAGAATTCTCACTTCTGTAATTCACCTGGGGAGCGCTTCTTCTCAACTGGAGCAGTTCTACAGCTCTGCTTTAACAGCTTCTGCCTCAAGCACAACTTTTAATCAGTGAAGACGCTGGAAAAGCATGACTAAGCCAAAGGAAAAAAATCTTCTGTATTGCAGCTTATGGACTTTTTCCTGCATAAAACTGCAACAGTTTTAAGGCTGAAGGAAGGTTGGGTTAAAGAACTCTGTGCTGCTGTGTATCAGTAACAGACTGCTCGCTTATAAAGCAAGTGAGACACAGTCTGGTGAGGAGAATGCTCCTTTGGCCTGTGCACTGCGACAAACTACAGCGGTTTGAACACATCTCCTCATCTTCACTGAAAATAACAAATCCTTGAAATCCATTGGCAAAGCTCACATCTCATACCTAGGAACAGGGCAGCCCACGCAGAAAGCAGGGGTGTTCTACAACCAGTCACTTCCCTGACACAGCACCTCAAGGTCTGTCAGGACTAATATCAGATCAGCAATGCTAGTAGCTCCTATGAGACCCAATACTGCAAAAACTGTCAAACAGAGTCTGCTCTCCTCTCCCAGCAGCATTTTAAAAATTTTTTATAAATAACCAAGCAGAAAGCGACATTAGTTGTTATAACTGGAGACAATCCTAGTCCCTATGAACATCTGCTGTCTTTGCTTCTCTCTGCTGCCTGAAAGACTTCTACCTCATTAACTGCATTAATCATGACTTCAGGAACAAAGTATGGTTTGGAAAGGACAGGAAATCTTTACAACTGTGCAATTTATTGAGGAAGCTCTAGATAAAAACTAAATGAAGTAGATGACACAAACCATTTCTCCACTTTCCAGTTCAAGCAAGAATTTATGAGCAACCACTGAATACATACTGGGCAACTTAATAAAAAGTGGAAACCTTTTCTGCTTGAGTGTATTATAAATTCCTGGGCTGGCCGATAAGTAACATGAGGCGCATTCTGATGTTTTTCAAGTCAGGCCATATATATATCTTGTGTTAATCATCTGGGCAGCAACAGGGCAGTGCAACAACTAACTTCATTCAAATGCAAATCAAAGCTGGATCTAAAGCGCCTTGACCCAAGAGGTTCAATATTAGTGAATCATAATTTTCAATGTTAACAGGTACTGAAGGCTGTCAGGCTCCCAAAACAACAGCACTATGAAGCATTACAGTGATGGAAGTGGCAGAAATGGCCAGCCCCTCATTAGGTGAGCCTCTGACGGTATTTCTTCCTCCAGCCAGTGACCCAGATCTTACCGAAAGCCTAAGACAAGGGCCATGCCCTCTGAATACCGAACCACTTACTGCTCACCGTTCGAGGAGAGGCAGAGGCACGGCAGGGGGAAAAAAAACCCTAAAACCAAACAATGAAATAAAAAGCCACGCAACTGCAAATTTGCATTTTAATACCGTCTCCTGTAGTCTCACCGCTACCTGCACAATACAATACATAAATTACGCCGCAGGGACTATTTACCCAGGGGCAAACTTCAGCCGCACCGGGATGCCTCGGCCCAGGTTAATACCTACCTTAACTTGACGGTGAAAAAGAGCGGCTCCTAAGGGCTGCTCCCTCATCCCCGTTTAAAAAAAAACAAAAAACAAAAGAACAAAAACCCCACAAAAAAAAAAAAAAACCCACAAAAAAAACCCTCCACACCAGAAAAACCGAAAAAACTCCTAAATCTCAAAACGCCAAGAAAACCCATAAAAAGACCCCCAAAACATACAAACAAAAAACACCAACAGCTTTTTTTTTTCCTTCGCAGAGGGCATGGGAGCACAAGTTGAGGCGCACGCCCCGCACTAGAGCATCACGGCCGCCCCCAGACTCCCTCCCTGCCGCCCGCCCGGCCCGGCCACGGCCGCCCCCGGCCGCCGCCTCGCACACGCCCAGCACCGCCCGCTGCCCGGCTCCGCGGCTCACAAAGCACCGCCGGCACGGAGCGGAGCCCCCGCCCGCCGCAGGACTCGGCCCGGCAGCCGGTGCGCCGCGGGGGACGCGCGGAAGGCGGCGGCGGCGGTGAGGAAGGGCGGCCCGGCGGCCACACGCCCCTACCTTGGCTTTCTGCAGGGGGCTGAAGCGCAGCTGGTGCACGAAGGGGCTCCGCGGCGGCGGCCCGCGCTCCCGGCTGCCGCCCGCGCAGCATCCCCGGCCGCGGCTGCTCAACTTCATGGCGGGGCAGGACGACGGGAGGACGCGGCGCGGGAGAGGGCGCGGGCTCTGCGCGGAAGCGGCCGCCGGTCCCGGGTAGCGGCGGCGGCGGGCGGGAGCGCGGAGTGCGGGCGGCACCGGCGGCCGGAGCGCTCCCCGCTGAACGCCGGCCCCCGCCCTCCCGGTCGCCCGCGCATGCGCCCTGCGCGCCGGCAGCAGCGGCTCGGCTGCGCGCCGGTTTCCGCGTCGGGTGGGAATGGGAAGCGCCTGGGAATGGGAAGCGCCGGCGGCGGCGGGGTGGGCGCGCACCCTCCCGCTCTCCTTCTCTCCGCCCACCTACCCACCCTCGGAGCGTCCCCCTCGGGCATGCCGGGAGCGCGGCCCCGCCCGGCCGCATGAGGGGCGCCGGCCGCCGCACCCGGGGGCCGCGGCGGCGCCGCATCCCCCGCGGCTGGAGGGGGAGTGTGGCGGGGGCGGCCCCGGGGAGCTGCCGCCACCGCTGCGCAGGTGCTGGCACCTCAACCGAACCCCGAACGGGGGCTCCGCTGGGCGTACGGCAGCCGAGGGGAATTCAGAGAAAAAGGGGAACGCTCCGGGCTGGAGATGGGTGTGAGGTGCCGCAGCTCTAACGGAGCGCGCGTCGGTGGGGCTGGATGGGCACCGCCGCCGTAGCTGGGAGAAGCCAGGTGTGCTGCTGGCATCACGTGGCTGGAATTGGTGAGGTCCGTGGGGAAAGCTCTGTTCCAAGCAAACCTAGACAGTTTTTAATGAAGTCTGGCTAATTTGCACCGTGGGATCTTGACAGAGTTGGCTGAGGAAGTAGCTGAGTTTGGGGTTTAATAAATCTTAAAATGAAAAGTAAGTTATTAAGAAGTAAAGACAATCGTTCGTGTTCTGTCCATTTTCAAAAGACCAAGCTGGGTGTCCCGTACTGTTCTTTACTGTTTTAACATAAACCACAGGCAAAACATTAGAAAAATAAACAAGAGAGATAAGCTTATCTCTTGATAAGGAGATGAGTAAGATATCCTTAGTGTCAATCACCTCGATCACCTCGACTTATTTAACAATTCTGATAGCCTTATTCAGTAACACAGGTAGATTGATAAAAGTAATTGTAGAAACATGGCTTCTGTTTTTAATCTAGTAGGCTTAGAACTGCAAAATGGTCTCGGAGTCCTTTGGTTAATACCATATGTACTTCTAATGACTAATGCTGTTGAATGGTCAATGTGTTAAATAGAGAAATAGTTTTGAACTTCTGAAAGATCAGAAGAGTTTTCGGAGGCTAGTCTTCATGGTTTTGAGGTGTGCAAGTTTCTGCAGGCTCAGCATTTTCAAGATTTTTATCAGAGATCCAAGATGAACTCACTGTTAATGAAATCTGTGCATGTGCTAAATGGTAACTTAGTAAACTACTGTGAGAGCAACTGCAGTGTCATCTGGACTGCTTAATAAAATTAACACTTTCAAACAGCCAAATGTGCAGGCCAAATTTACTGCCAAATTTTTCAGGATTACAAGCCATGCCTCTGGAATGAGAGCTTATGTCTTAGAAAAAATTGTCTAAAAATCATGTCAAGCAAGCTGTTTTGGATAAGGAACGACATGTCCAGTCTGACTGTTGGATGTACTACCAGCATTACAGTGTGTATTAATGGGAACTGAGAGTAGAACAAGGTGTGTGGCTCTTGACATTAAAGATCAAGTGGTGCAGGAAAGACCTGGCAGAACATTGTAGTACTGGAGAAAGTCTCTTATAATGATTATGTTCTGAACCCATTATCAATTTGTCAAATAGATCTGCAAGATTTGCTGTGCTTAAGTTTTTTTAAATAGTAGAAGGGAACAAAAAAAAAAAATCAGTGGTCAGGAGCTGAGATAATGTAATGCAAATGTAGTGGTTTTAATCAAAAACAAGCTCCTTGGCTCAGTTTGGGGTTGGTAGCAAGACTTACTGGCCTATGGTCAGAGTATGTGATCCAATGATCCCTTTTAACCTTAAACTCTCTGAAGTATTTTAGCTGCATTCCAAACAATTTGGCTGCCCTCACCTTTTTTCCCTCTCCAGTGACTTCAAGCCGGTTGTTGGTTCAGCCATACGGGGCTGATTTCAGTAATGAATGACAGATTTTTTGCAGAATGAAGGAGAGACTCTAACAGGACCCACATGCCACGTAGCCAGGGAGTTCAATGCAGCTTCCCTCAGGGCTCTTCAGGCTCTTCAGCCAGGAAGAGCTGTCCTGCAGGTCAGCAGGGAGGAGGTGGTGGCCACTGGCTCCCCAGCACATGGCCTGTCAGAGCGCTCCAGTACGTGCTCTTCTTCCCCATCTGGTAGGTGTAGGACACAATGAGGGTGCTGGAATGGGTACAGCTCTGAGATGTAATCGGGCTTATTAATTTCTGCTGGTTGTGTTCTATTTGTTTTCTAAAGCCAGCTTCCAAAATGATTTATTATTATTATTTGTATTCACTTTGGGTATTTGTAGCGTCTTCCTCAGTTATAAACCCTAATAAAGTGTTAGGCACCTGCCTGGTCCTTTGGGCCTTAAACCTTTGCTGTTAGAGCGCTTGTTCTGTATTACGGAGTGAATGAGCAGTATTCTAACTTTTTATAACTGCTTTCATGGGTTTAGTCAATTATTTTCTAATTAGCACATTAACACCTGACAAGAGTTTCCAGGAGACTTGGTAGTTATATAGAACTGATTTGTTCTGTAGGGATAATATAGCCTCTAAAACAAGCTAGGAGATGGTTATCAAATTACAATTCATGGAATATGTACATATATGAACTACTAGGATGTTAAGGGGTGCTTTCCTGGTTTCTGGTTCTCATTTGTTTTCTTCAAAATTCTGATGTGATCAGTGTAACTGAAGACAGATAACTTTAAAAATGTACAACCTAGCAGTCTTAAACTTTTAGGAATGTGTTTCCCTATCTCTGTAGTCCCTTTAATCTGAAATTGTAAAAAGATGAATGTAAGCTCTGTTTCTTGTGTAATAAAATCTGAGCAGTGAAGGAACTGAGCATGAGCCCCGGAAGAGGGGCAATCCCATGGCAGGACTTGAATGGGAAAGGCAGGCTAGGAATCTGGAAGCAGACCAGTTTGGCATGTGATAAAGAGAGGGGTGAAGGGACCAGCCTACATGGCAGGGCAGAGTCAGCCACACACAACAGAACTGCTTACTTGGTAGTGAACTGGAAAATTTATTTGAATCCTTCCAGAGACACATGATAAAAAACTTGCTCCTGGAATTTTATTATATGACCCTAGGAAGATGGGCTTAAGACTCTGCAAGCATGGACAAAAAAGGGGCAGTATTTTATAATACACAGAACCGTGGAATTATTTAAAAATGTGGATCATTTTTGTGAATTAATTTGATGCTTGAATAAAGTATGTCTGTAGTATTGGAGTTTGATTGCTACTTTTTTGTGCAAATCACTAAAGAGGCATAACTGTGCTGTGGCTTTCAAGGCTGGCATGTGCTACATTACTCAGTAATGCAGGCTTATAAGGACATAAGGAGAGGTGATGAATTTATTGCAGGATTTATGGAATCTACCTTACAGCACAAGAGGTGTGATACATTATGTTGGATGTAAGTGTATTGTGAATTGGAAAAGGAAATGTTGAAGCTGACTATCGTGAGAACAAATTGCAGTAAGCTTTCAAATAACCTCCTCAGGGAAACTGTGGAACCTGAAACCATTAAAATGAGACTGCACAACCATCTAAGAGCCATTCCACCCTGAAAAAGCTCTAATTGGTCCTTTCTGTCATTCATTTATATGATTTATAGGGAGCTGTATAAATAAGAGGACTCATGCATAAAAAGCATACAAATATTATGAAATCTGCTTCTGTGAACCTTGAAGTAGGAAAAGGAGTATTCCATATTTAACAGCTAAACTGAAGTGGTTTTCTCAAAAATAAATCAAAGAGGTGTTCATAAAAAGCAAATATATTGACCGCAGCCCTGAACTTTATTTCAAAATTTTTAAAAAAACTATTGCCTAGGAAAAGTCCTTGCTTTGATTTTTATGATGGTCCTTCACCTTGATGGCTATTTGGTAGAATCAGCTGATACCTATTCAAGCATGATTCTGGTACACTTCCACCCTTAAAACAATTTTTCTACAGTTGATTTCACATGTTCTGTAGGGGTGTTTTTCTTTCTCTTTCTTATTTTTTCCCTTATGGCTTTCGTCATAAATCTATTTTATGTTTAAACTAGGAAAGGTTTTAAAAATATTTGATAAAAAAAGTATTTTGTGGAGGGAAAAATTAATGTTGAATTACTAGAAGTAGTACAAATTTTTGCAATGAAAATGCACGAACATTTTTCTTCTGCTTTGTGAAGAAACACAGAATCCATCTGACTTTCTTGAATCAGAAAAGGAATGGCTGGAGTTAGTGGCAGGTCTATGGGAAGAAGAGCAGTTTCTTGCTTTGATAGTTAAAAAAAAAGAAAAAGACCTCCCTCATTCAGAAATTATTAGGAAACATAGCTTAACATAATTCAGAATTTTCAAGAAATAATTGTTTTCTTAATACCTATGTTTTACCTCAGGATTCACAGTATTATAGTTCACACATGACCTTGGCTTTAGCATTGCAAAGAAACTCTTTAGATCCCCTCCAATGATGGCCTCTCAGTAGAGGGGCAGGAGCAGGCTGATGTTTTGAGTGGTACAGACTCTGACAGGTGCTGAGTTCTCCACACTTGGTGGACAAACCCTGCTCCTGCACACTACTGGAAATACCCAGCCTTATAAGAGTGAGGGGAATTTAGGGTACAGTGTGTGCTGATTTCATCCTTTCCCCATGGAGGAAAAGAAATTTTGGTCAGCAGGAGCTTTGCTCACCTCATTCAAAGGCTTATTTAAGACTGTGGAAGAAATTGCTGTGCCATTTGAGATCTGCCTCATACTTGATCAATTGATCAATAGTATCCCAGTTTGTCCCATGTATTTTATTTCTCTCTTATTTTTTTAAACTGAAACACAGAACAAAGAGTCCATACTAGTT